CCCCCCCCCCCCCCCCCCCCAAAATTGAGGAGCCCCCCGGGGGCCCCAGCCGGTCCAGTCCGGGGGCTGGGGCCGGTCCCGGGCAGTGGGGCTGGCTGTCCCGGCTCCCCTGGGGCTGGCCCCGCCGTGCCCGGGCGGCGAGGGATGGTTAGCGGTCCCGGGAGGTGATTAGCGGTCCCGGGCGGTAATTAGCGGTCCCGGGGGCCGGCGGTTCCTGGCACTAATGAGGAGGGAAGATCTTCGGGGCGGCTCATTCGCTGAAGCCTCTGTGCCAAGGGCTGGGGGCACCTCCCGCTGCTTCCTTCCCTCCCCCCCAGCATCCAGCCTGAACCAGCACCCCTGAATTGGGGGCGGGGGGGCGCTAAAAACTTGGGGGGTGGTCTGCCCGCTGTTAACCCCTTCCTTGCTGGGTGCATCTCTGGCCAGAACATCATCCCCAGGCTCAGCGTGGCACTGAATCAGTGCCCAGTGCGGGGGGCCGTGCTGGGCAGGGAGGGGGGACCGGGGGTCTGTTACCGGGTCCCTGCCAGCCCCGGCTGGTCGAGGGAGACGCCGAAGCTGAACCGGCCGTGGTGGCCCCGGGCCAGGAATCGGGCTCCATGCGCGATGCTGCAGGTCCAGATCTGTGGGGGCAAAGAGGGCAGGTCGATGGGCACCCACGGGGGATGCCACCCCCCACCCGGCTACCCCTTCGCACGGTGCCAGCCCTACCAGGTAGGCGACGAAGGCCACGTAGGCAGCCAGCAGCAGGCCCAGGGGTATGTGGTACCCCAGGCCCCGCAGCGTGGGCAGAAAGTCCACCACGAAGTAGATATTGATGGCGCAGACCAGCCCCGTGATGAGGATCATCAGCACCTTCCCCAGGCTGCGGGCACGGGAGCGGGCATCAGCGGCAGGGCAGACTCCCCACCCCGTGTGCCGCTGGGCACAGCGGTCTGGGGGATCTGGGTTTGTAGGCGAGCAAGACCCCAACTGGGACATCTCTGCACCCCATGGCCATCCTAGATCCCCACGATGGGGCTCTGGGCATGGGCTTTGGCCACTGTCCAAATGCAGGGCTGGCAGTGCCAGGAGGGTGCTGAGGACCCAGGGATGCCCGAGGGTACCAGATGTGGCATTGGGATGAGGATGGAGAGGGCAGTGATGGGGTCTGTCCCGCTCTGGCTGCCCAGGGCAGGTGGGAATGGACATGCCCCCCCCGATGCCCATACACCAACTGCCCCCACAGCATGGTTTGGAGAGGCAGGATGGGCCAAAGGGAGGGTGCCTGCAGCCGGTGTGCCCCACTCTGCCCCCCCGCCCCGTGCCTGCCCCTGCCCTGGCACTCACAGGCCGTTGGTGAAGTCCTGCATGAGCGGGCGCAGGCTGGTGAAGGTGAGGACGGGCAGGACGGCAAAGGGCAGCTGGAAGGAGAGGAGGATGAGGGGGGCATGGCTGCCAGGCCGGGGTGTTGGGGGGGCAGGTGAAGCCCCCCCCCCCTTACCAAGATGCTCTGCAGGACGTTGAGCAGGTCATTCATGCCCGTGAGGTGGCTGACATCCTTGAAGGCGGCCACAAAGACGGTGGGCAGGATGGCGAAGGAGCGGGTGAAGACCACCCGGGCGAAGCGGGACCAGCGGAGCTGCAGGAAGCCCTGGGGACACGGCAAAACCTGTGCCCTCGCCATGCCTGGGGCATCGTGCCAGGGTGGCTCCCCCCAAACCCTGGCTCAGAGGAACACAGGGAGGGCATTGCCCTCCCTCTCCTGTGCCAAGGTGCTGAGCGGGCCCTTGCAGGGCTGCTGGGCTCCGCTAGATGTCAGCTCCAGCTCATTAAGCAAATGATCTCATTAGGAGAACACTGTGTGGGACACCCACAAGGTGCCTCTGGGAGAGGGTGTCACAGGGGGCGGGGGTGGCCATGCAGTGGCAATGGGTGCCATCAGGAAGCTGCCACCCACTGGGTGGGCAATGCCCCATGCCCAGCTCCCTGCAGGAATGGGGGGCAATTAACTCTGCCAAATACCCCAGAGGGGGGGCTGCTGCCCATAGGACCCCCCATCCAGGGCCCACCCATGATTCTCCCCCTTCCCAGCTGTTCCCCGTGGGGATGAGGGCCAGCATCCCTGTCCCTCACCTCCATGACAAACTGCCCTGCGTAGGTCCCGGTCATCGTGGAGCTCTGTCCTGCTGCGAGGATCCCAATGGCCCAGATGTACAGTGCCACCGCCCCGAAATAGCATCCCAGGATAACACCCTGTGCAGGGACACTTCCATGGGCACCACAAAGCATCCCTCAACCTGGGCACCCCATCAGCTCCCAGCCTTCCAGCAGGGTCACGGCAGCCCCCAGCCTCAGGGGTCAATGGCGGGGCACCCTATGTCCCCCAAATGGGTACGGATGCCTGCTGGGCACAACCCGGGGCCACTCACCCCCTGGTAGATATCCACAGAGACCGTCTCGTTGTTGTTGGGGAAGATGCTGGCATACTGGCTGATGCTGCTGTTGACACACTTGTTGTGCTGCAAGGCATGGCGGGCACGAGGGTGATGGCCACCCAGTAGCCCCCCCAGACACGGGGGGACACCCCCCTCATGGGACACCCACTCTCCAAGGGATGCTCCCCCTGCCCGTCTCCACAGCTGGGCATAGATGTGACCTCCCTCCCCATGGGCGTGAGGCGACACTCACTACATCTTCGTTTCGCTGGCGGTAGAAAGCCTCGCCGAAGACAGCCATGACGAAGAGGTTGATGAGGAAGGAGACAAAGAGGGCCACGCAGGACTCGGTCAGGAAATACATGTTGGCCTCCCGCACCGCCTCCTTCTTGGACCGGTCGATCTCCCGTGTCTGGGCACGGCGGGTGACATGGGTGCCACAGGGTCAGGTGAGCACCTCTGTCCCACAGCCAGGACCATCTGGTCCCCACCAAAGTGTCCCCTGAGACACCCTGGGGTAGCAGTACCCATGGCAGTGCCCTGGTCTCACCTTGACCAAGGAGGAGTGGAGGAAGATGTTATGGGGCATAATAATGGCGCCAACGATGCCCACGGCCTGGAGCAGCTCCTCTCGCCCGCAGCCCGGGCAGTAGGGCAGGAAAATGCCCTTCAGCACCTCCACCTGCCCCGGCCTCACCACCACGTACTGGGGACCGGTGGGAAGGGGCACTGTGAGCTGGCCCCCACCCTGCTGCAGCCCAGTGACAGTGGGGACGCCCCGTGGGGGTCCCCTGCCAGCAACCTGCAGGGAAAGTGGTGTCCCCAGCTCCCCCCTTCACCTCATAGCCGAAGGTCAAGGCCATGATGGTGATGAGAAGGCCGAAGAAAGCCTCCAGTTTGCGGAGCCCTAGAGGGGTCGAGAGATGGGGTGGGACAGAGCAGGGGACACCAGTGCCACATCGGCATCAGGGCTGCCTGGGTGAGTGTCCCCCCCCGTCCCCTCACGCTGGCACTCACCGTACTTGTCAAGGAAGAGGAAGAAGAGGGTGTCCACGATGGTGATGAGGACCCCACCCCAGAGGGGGATGCTGTGGGACGACAAGGGGGGGCATTGGACATGTGCTCCTCGGCGGAGAGGGGCCATGGGGGAGGCTTAGGGGTACCCGTGGGGCGGCTCACCGGCCGGCTGAGAGCAGGCTGAAGGCGATGGCTGTCCCGATCACCTCCTGCATGTCAGAGCCGATGATGGCAATCTCGATCATGAGCCAGAGCAGCACGCGGGGCACCTGGAGGGGCCGGGGCACCGTGACGTGTCTGAGCCCACAGGGGTCTTGGTCCCAGGTGAGCTGGCACAACCTCCAGGGTGGAGACCCCTGTCCCTGTCCCCAAGCTGTGGCAGGCCACCCAGAGCAACATGGGGATGCCAGGACACCCCTCCCAGCCTCTCCCACGACACAATCTCAGGGTGCAAGATGGATCCTAAATCCCAGCCTACCCCCACCTCCCCATCCCTGCCCCAGTGGGAGCTGAGGACAGGACCCAGCTGCCTGGGTATGATGGTCCTGGTGGGGTGCAGGGGCAGAGGGATGTATCCAGTTCTCCTTTTGGGGACCTGTCATTCAGCCAACACACCTCATCACTCTTTCCCCTCCATCAAGATCCTGCCGACTAGACGGGACCCCTAGCCCCCCCACCTCCTTTGCCATGTGACTCCCCCAAGCCCCCCCAACTCCCTGCACCAACGTGCCCAGGCTCGCCCTGCGTCTCAGCTGCGCGTCGCTGCCCCGACACCTGGGCTCACCCCCCCGGGGGGACGCGCTTACGTGTCCCCAGATTGGACCAGGACACCGAGGCAACTGCTTCCCCCCCCGCCTCGTGCCGGGCGCCCATACTGCAGGGGTCTGTGGGCACTAGATGGGGGGCACCAGGGCTGGGGGGGCTTTGGGGAGCCCCTGGGAGAGGTGGGGCTCTTGCAGCATCTTCCTGCTCCTCTCCAGCCCCCCCAGTCCCTACCAGGATTGTCACCAGCCCAAGTGTGGGGTCCCCCAGGCTGTGACTCCCGGGGGGTGTCCCTGTGGCTGCTCACCTTGGGGTAGTAGAGGTAGCAAATCTCACCCAGGTCCTTCCCCGTCACCACACCCAGCCGGATGGCCAGGCGCTGGCACAGCAGCCCCAGGACGGTGGCCCACAGCAGCACCCACAGCAGCTGGGGGGGGGCAGAAGGGAGGGAAGTAGCAGGGGCTGGGCACCAGGCAGGATGCGACTCCCCGGGGCTCCCAGCAAGGTTATCAACTAGCCCAGGGACACGGGAAAGAGAAGCCCAGAGAAGCTGGAGGTGGTCCCCAGCCCAGGCAGAGGGGAGGCCCTTTTGCACCCCTGGGTGCCTTCCCCCAGTGCCAAGGGCCCCTCCGTGCCCTTCCCGCTCCCCGGGCTGGGGAAGCCGGTTCCCCATGGGGCTGGGTGGCCGTTGGTGCAGGAGAGGTTACGAAACCTCCGGCTGCTTCCTGACCCGGGGGCCGGGGGGGCCCAGGGCTCACCTTGAACCCCGCCACTGCCCCGCACTGCAGGTCCGACTCCACGTTGCCCGGGTCCAGGTAGGCGATGCTCATGAGGAAGCCGGGACCAGTGAAAGCCCAGAGTTTCCTAAAGCTGAAACCGGGCTGGGACAAGGCAGCAGGTCAGAGCGAGGAGCTCTCATTCAAAACCAGTGTCTCCCAGTTGCACTCCCAATGCCCTTTAGCCCAGTGCTAGGAAGCCCTGTGCCAGGTGCATTTCGCACACAAAAGACATTTCTTCCACTTGCTTTGGGGAAGAACGGCTGCCCCCCAGCCCCTCTCTGTTAGCAGCAGTGCAAGGGGGCAGCGAGACCCCCCATCCCACCCGGGGACAGGTTGGACAGTAATCTCTAGGGGGGTCTCAGGCACTGTTAATTGCACCCCATGGGATCCCGCTACCGAGTCCTGCTTTCACCACCACTCCTGGCAGGGGAACCCCCATTCCTTTCCCCTTCTCCCTTCCACCCCCCGGGACCAGCCGGGGATGGGGGTGCTGGCAGGGTGCAGGCAGCCTGCGGGAGCCCCACTGGGCTGGGCATGGGTGGCCCAGGACGGGGAGCCTGGGAGATGTGTGAGCAGCAGGGTGATCCCTGCAGCTGGGTAGCACCTCGCCCCATGCTTCAGTTTCCCCATCTGGAAACCTTTAAGCATGGAAACGCTCACCCTGTGGCTGTGATTTGCCTGAGCCGGCTTTGGGGATGCTGAGGTCCTCAGGGCATGTCCCAGGCACATCTCTCCCCCTGCAGTGGCCCTTCGCCTCCCCACCTCAAGCTCCCTGCGGTACCAGCCCCCCACCCCATCTCTGCCCACCCTCAGATGGAGGTGCCAGCCTGGCAGCACCTACCCCGCCGCCCTTGGGGATGCTGATGAGTTCATCCAGGTAGGTCTGATCCCGGGTGCCAGGGTGCTGCAGGGGCACAGGGCTCCCAACGGTGCCATAAGTCTGGGCTTGGCCCTGGTTCAGGGACCCGGTGAGGCCTGGGGGGGGGCAAGGAAGAGGAGGAGGGGAGGTGGCAGCCTGCCGGGGGATGAAGACACTGGTGGGCTGGCAGCCCTAGTACTGGCTCTACTCAGTCCCACCTGCCCCTGCCCGATGAGCCCTGGCTCAGCCCAAAGAAGGATGAGCCCCATTTCTCCAGAGGGGCTGTGGGGGTGGCTATATTGGGGCTGTCAGTGGCTATGCAAAGGAGTCAGATGCCACTTCCAGTTCAGGTGTCCCTAAACCCCCCCGGTCCCACCCCACTCTTCACCAGTCCAAGAATGAAGTGCATTTCTGGGCAGGAGGGACAGGAGGGGACCCTGCTCTGGGTCCTGCTGCTGGGTAGGCATGGAGCGGGGACAAGAGGCTGGTACTGGTCCCAATCACTCCTCCAGCCCACCCACATCCTGGGAACGTAGGTGAAGCCTGGATGGGCTTGGGGGAACAGAGGACAGGGCAGGTGGGGAAGCCAGGACAGACTGGGGAGGCAATGGTGCCCACCGTGGTGGGGGAGCAGAGCCAGGGGTCCCAAGGCAGAGGAAAGAGGGTCTGGGGGAGGAAAGGAGGCGTGGGGGGACCCAAGTGTCTTGCGGCTCACCTGGCTCCAGTGATGCCATGGCTGGGCCTGATCTGGACATGGTGCCGGGGAGCCGTGATTGCGACACTGGATGCAATGCTTGCCACCCAGCTTTTAAAGGACCCCCTCCAGTTGCCCCCCCGCCCCCATCCCGAGGAGGAGAGGAGGAGAAGGAAGAAGGAAGTCCTCCTTCCCCACCCACTGACCTGGGCTAGGAAAGGGGTGGGGGTTGGGTGCTATGAATGTGCACTGTCTCAGTTCCCCCACCCTGTGCCAGGAGGGGGGCACCCAGCACCTCCCTCCCCCTTGCCATGCATACGACAGGCGGCACCCACACCAGCGTGCCCAGGGGTGTGGGAGCGTGCCTGCGTGTGACCGTCCATCACATGCCAGGGGTCCGGCTCCTTTGGTGGTTGGGAGGACAGGGGACAGTGTCCTGCAGGGTGGGGAGGGAGGGCTGGCTCGGCGGGAGTAGGGGAAAGGCCAGAGGAGCGGGAGCAAGGAGGAAGCAGGCGTGTGTTGCACAAGTGTGTGAGCACGTCAGAATGCACCCTCAGCTGCTGGGGGAAAGCACCCAGCCAGGCAGGCTCTGCGGCGCAGGGTGCTCATGCCACCCCCAGGTCGGGGGACACCCCCCCCCAAAGATGGGGTGCTCAGTGTTGTCGCAGGTCAGGCTGCACCCGCAAAAGTGGGGGACTCTTGTGGCTGCAGAGGTAAGAGGGGGTGCACCCCAGGTGCACCCATGGGTGGCTGGGTAGTACCGGCTGCCTCTCCGGGGCCCCCCTCTGCCGGCTGGGCTGTGCCCCACAGAGAGGTGGGCATCGGGGCTCTGCCCCTGGGGAGATGTGGGGTGGCCTGGCACAGGGATGCGAGCTTGGCCCTGCCCCAGGGTATGCCCCAGGCACCCCCCACCCCAAGTGAGGGCTAGAACAGCTGGGAGGGGGACAGGGGGTCCTGCCCAGACTCACACGGAGTGGGGGTTAACATGCAACTTAGCACCCCTTACCCTCCCCTTGCCTCAGTTTCCACAAAGCAAATGAGCCTGGACAGGCAGTGCCAGCAGCTTTATTCCCCATTAGCCGGAGGGTGGCAAGGCGGGGGGCTGGCAGCCACGGTGGAGGCAAAGGGGGTCGTGGGGGGCTGCTGGCGGGCAAAGAATTGGGCAGCGAAGGAGACGGGGTCACAGGGCTGCTGGAGGAGCAGGGCCTGGAGGAAGTCAGCCAGCAGCACCCGGAGCTCGGGGTGCTGCTGGATGTAGGTGGCGTGGGACGCTTGCAGCTCCTCCTGCGGTGGGGTGGGCAGGGTGGGCATGGGCACCAATGTCCCCCCCGGTCACTGTGCCAGGGTGGGGGGGCAGGATGCCTGGGCCCTTTCCCACACTTGAGGAGGTGGGGGGGGAGGATGCTGGCCAGCCTGCCCCCCCACTGTGCCCCCTGGTCATCCCAGGGGAGACCCTGCTGGGAGTGGCACAGCCCCATGTCCCCATATCCCCTTGTCCCACCGTCACACCTTCCTGTCCAGGAACCAGGAGCAGAGCTGGATGTCCTCCTCCCAGTCCAGGGGCTGTTTGGGGAAGGGGGGTGGGGGCTCGACCGCACCTGGCAGCAGAAAGACAGAGCAGGGTGTTCCCCACTCGGCTGCCAGACAGCAGGCAGGGGCTGCTTGTGCTGGGGGGCACAAGCCTCCCCCCCTCAGTACCTGTCTTGCCGAGGACGGACTCATCCTGCAGAAGCACCAGCATCGGGCAGCCGACCTGCACCAGACGGGCCAAACGCCTGCGGGGGTGGGGAGGAAGAGCCGATCATCCCCCTCCTGGGTCCCTGCCAGGCTGGCAGGGCTGCGGATGCCCCTGGCCAGACCCCCACCGTACCCGCTGGGGAGGAAGCTGCTGTGCCACACGGTGGAGATGCCTGTGCTGGCATGCACAGCTCGCTCGATCACAAACACCTCTGCCTCCACTGAGCCCACTGCCTGCCGCTGGATGCCCAGGGCACGCTGCGGGGGGCATGGCCAGGGGTCACCCCTGTCCTGGAGTGCCCCCTGCCCCCAGGTGCCATCTCCATGCCCCCCCATGCTGTCAACCACACTGCTCACTGGCACCTCTCATAACCCACCCTGGCACCCCCAACCTGACCCAGACCCCCCATCCCACAGGTCCCCCCCCGGCCGGTGGCTCACGTAGCTGGAGGTGCAGAGGTGGCCCTCAGTGTCGATGGCCGGGAAGATGAGGCCGGAGGGCACTGCCTGCTGGCATGCCAGCACCCGCAGCAGCAGGAGGCTGGCACCCTCCGGCAGCAGCCCCCGTATCTTGTCCCGGCCGTAGGAGAAGCTCCAGCACTGTGGCTCTGCCTGCAGAGAGACAAGGCCACCTCGTGGAACAGCCCCAGCCCCATCGTCCCAAGAGACAGCACCCTCTGGAGCCTGGGGGCACCCCTGAGTGGGACAGGCCAGCTGTGCCTCCCCCCTCCCCAGGATGTGCCCCATCTGGGGGGCAGAGGGGAGAGACACCCCCCCACAGCCTCACCTCTCCCTCTCGGAGGGTCTTTGTGACAGTCATCCCATGCTGGTGGCTCACCATATGGGTCCTCCTCTCCACTGTGTGTGCTCTGAGCTGTGGGGGGCACAGGGTGGGGGGGCAGAGCCAGGGCACTCCCTCTCTGAGGTGGCACACCCCAGCTCACCCTTCAATCAGGGTACCAAGCCAGATGCATTGTGGGAAACTCCCCACTCCAGCTGCCACCCAGAGTAGGGGATGGGGACCAGGCTGGTGGGACAGAGCTGGTGTCTGAGCCGGGGAGGGGACACCAGGCTGCCCACAGCGACCTTGCATGGGGGGCAGCCCGCAAGAGGGCATCGCTGCAGGGCACATGCCACGGCAGAGGGGCAGGACACGGGGAAGGGGACACGCCACCGCCACACCGGTCACCTCCAGGCGCTCCTGCTCCTCCTGCTCCAGGGTCTCCAGCTGCGGGGTCACATAGGCTGGCAGAGCAGAGCCACGCTTAGCCCACCCCGCCGGCACTGCCCCCCATCCCAGCCCTGGGGGCCGGTGGGACAGGGATGCTCCAGTCCTGGGGAAGGAGGTGGGGGGGACACCCCAAGCAGCCCCCGGCTCACCTATGAGGGTGCTGGAGCCGGGCACGCCGTCCTGCCTGCTGCGGGTGCCGGCTTGCACCAGGAGGCAGCTCCGCACCGGCTCTCCCGCCCGCTCGTAGGGTGCCCACCGGGCTGCCACCCACCGCTGGCCCCCGGCCCGGTCCCGTGGCTGGTCGCCTGCGGCCACCACCTCCAGCGTCTCGGCGAACAGGCAGCGCTCCAGCTCCTCCGGCCCTGCCCGGGGGGGACCGTCACCCCCGCCCAGG